ATATAAACCCTACCTATTGAAATTTTTTTGAAATATTTTATTCAAAATACCCCCACCATCAAGATTCGTTAGTTTAACAGCTAAAAATAGTAAAATATGACAAAATCAAAAAAAAAAAAATTGAATAATTGCAATTCTGGATTAAATTTTTTTTTTTTTTTTTTTTTTTTTTTGTAAATTATACCCAAAATCTTGAAAGTCCCAATATACATCACAAAAATATATGGAAGTGCTATCTTCTTGCTTGGACCCCAATGGGAAGAATATGCAATACCAGAGAAAGAAAACTTTGAGAGGCTATCACTAGTAATGTGGAATATTGATTTTTTAATGTTCATTTAGTTACTCGAAATTAATCACCCTTTCCAAAAGTAGTTATCATAAACCAAAGAAAATACTCTGAAATCAACACAATATTATTAATAATGTAGAATGACTAAAATTAACTCACAAATTGTGTTAAATAGCTGCAAAATACGAAATTATAGGAAAATTATAAAAAATGGCAAAATCCCGAAATTACTGATGCAGAAGGATCCGAGTCGAGTGATGCTGATTTGTCAGATAGCATGATGATGGCGCTGAGATACCATGAGATGGCGAATTGGCACAAAGATGGAAAGTGAATCGCAATTATTTCCTTGATTAGGGGAATTTGACACGTTTTTGGTAATTTGACCATAACTTTGGCTACGGTTATCAGAATTACTATTATGACCCAAATCCGGAAAGCTCTCTTCGACGCACATGTCGTATTTCGACCTCAATTTCGAGCCCAGAATTCACTGTTTTCCTTTCTGAAATTCAATTTTTAGTTATTTTTTGCTATTTATGGTAATATTTCGTTTCCCTTTTTCCATATTTTAGAAAATTCAAATTGAGTCAAATTTTTGGCAACTTATTCCTTTTACTTAATATTTTATTCTAATGTAATTTCGGAATTTTGCCATTTTTGGTAATTTTCTTATAATTTCGTATTTTGCAGCTATTTAACCCACTTGTGGGTTATTTTTAGTCATTCAACATTATTAATAATATTAAGTTGATTTCAGAGTATTTTGTTTTTTGTTTTTGGGCATTTTTCTATCGTTTATTTCTTGCGAATCATCTACTACAACAAGCCAATAGGATAATCACTATCCTATCTGACATCACATTTTGTAATGGGTTTTTGTTTTGGAATGGGATTTGGTTGTTGGATCCAAGTATTGTTAGGTGGAAGTGTGGAAGAAGATGAAGTGGGGGTGGAGAAGAAAATAAAGTTTTAAATGTTTGGGACCACGGGTGTCATATATAAAAAAATTTGGATATAATTTACGAGAAAATAAAATGTTTTAAGTACTATAATTCCAATTATTCCTTTTTAATTTTGACCTTTTTTTACCATTTTAATGATTAAACTAATGGATCATGATGGCAGTGGGTATTTCGAGCACAATGTATCGAGTAAAGGGGTTTTTTATAATTTTCAATAAATACAGGGTATAACTTTTTAAAACATTTAAGAGTAAGATTGCAATTTATTCTTTATTTTTTTTTTCTTTTTTTTTTGTTTTATTTAAATAGGAGGGTATTTTGATCATTTTACATTCAAAAATGGTGAAAACGACGTTTTTAGCAATGAACTGTTGAAATAAGGATGAAAATGCAAAAAAATGAAACGTAAGGACTTTTTCGCAATAGGTGTCAAACGTTATTTCCAATACACCAATCGACTATACTCACCAGGACGCTTCTCTTCATTGTCTTAAAACATCAACATATGGTTCAGCGGTATGGAGGTTTGGCTATTTGGGCAATCGTTGATCAGAGTTTTTTTTCATTTCTATGGTGGCAATCTTATTTGGAGAAAAATAAACCATGAGGAGAAGTGTCCTGGTGAGTAGAAATGACATGTATATCTTCGGAACAGGTAGTGCCGTCGGAGTTTAGGTGATGGTATTTTGGAAATGGTACGGAGGTTCGACAGTTTGACAATAATTTCAATTTTAATAAGGTCTAATAGCACAGAATGTCCCTACGTTTGACACATCCTTGTGGAAAACGTCCCTCTGTTTGACATTTCTTGCGAAAAACGTCCATATGTTTCAAATATTTTTTTTTTTTTTTTTGCATTTTCATTCCTATTTTCACGTTTCATTACAGAAAACGTTATTTTCATCAATTTGAAACATAGGGACGTTTTGCACACTACGAGCCAAACGTATGGACGTTTTGTGCTATTAGACCTTTTAATAATTATTTGGACTCACTTGCACTTTTTAAAACATTTAAAAGTAAGATTGCAATTTATTCTTTATTTTTCTTTTCTTTTTTTAATTTTATTTAAATAGGAGTATATTTTGATCATTTTACATTCAAAAATTGTGAAAATAGCATTTTTAGCAACGAAACATTGAAATAAGGACGAAAATGTAAAAAAATGAAACGTAAGGATGTTTTTCAAAATAAATGTCAAACGTAGGGACGTTTTGTGCTATTAATCCTTTACAATACTTAAAAACTAGGATTGTGAGCCCCCCGGGGCACAGCTCAACTGGTGGATCAATCAACATTTGTCTTACTTCCAGCGGCAGGGTGGAGGTTCGAATCTTGGTGGGAACTTGCGGCCAGATTTATTTGGTATGGAGCAATCACTTTGGAGGAGGATCTCTTGTACAGGCAGTGGGGGGAACCTGTGATCCAGTTGAGGCCTAACCCGCGATTTACCCCCTCCAAAGTTCTAGGGGCAAGAATCTTGGGGGGTCCAGGATTTAGTGTAGTGTAAGTTGGGATACCTAGATATCAAAAAAAAAAAAAAAACACTAGGATTGTGATGTTAAGAGGTTTGCTTATAAGTAAAATTGATAATAATTTTTTTATTAACTAAAATGAAAAATAAGCAAGGCGTTCTTAGCTGCTAAAAGAAGACAATATCATAGAAAGCTAAAGATCTCACTCGATAAAAGAAGAAATTCGGTCCACCAAAGCTAATGCCCTCACTTGGAATTTATCATACACAAAAGAGAATAATTTATAGAAAATTAGAAATAGCAAAAATCGGTACAATAACTTGAATGATTAGCTTTTTTCACTTCAAGAACTGAATTTTGATCTGTATATTTCTGGAAGATAGCAATAACTAAGTTACACAAATGATCAATCCTTACCCTGGAGGAGTTGTAAAGTCCTTTTGAGTTTTTCCACTCAAAAGCTCCAAAGCTTCAATCTTTGGCCTTATTTCCCTTTCCTTTTCAGTCGGGAAATCTCTAAAGAACTGGAGCGAGAAATTGAAAAAAGGCAAATAAATGATTTTTGCAATAAAATATGAAACAAGGGTAAAAATGTCAAAAATGAAAGGTATGGACGTTTTGTACAATAATAATGAAAGATAGGAACGTTTTGTACTAATTATCATTTTAATAATTTATTTGGACTCATTTGCACTTTTTAAAAAATTTTGGGAGCATGATTGCAATTTATTTTAACTTTTCTTTTCTTTTTTATTGTTTTCTTTAAACATGGGGTATATTTGTCGTTTCGCACAAAAAATTTGATGAAAAAGATAATTTTCGCAATAAAAGGTGAAGGTAAGAGTAAAAGTGTCAAAAAATAAAAGATATGGATTTTTTGTACAATAACATTGAAAGTTCGATTATTTTTAGTCTTTTTCAACAAACTCATGAAGTTCGCTTGAAGTCATCGTGATTTTCTTGCTTAGATATTGGTCGTTCTCATTGTGCTCAATTCAAAATGAGAGAAATGTCTAATAACCTTTTGGATTCCGTCCAATTTGTGTTGGCATGATTTGAACTCACTCTGTTGGAAAAAAAATGGTTTAATGGGTCAACTTTGAGCCCAAATTTCAGTGGGACCCACCTTTTAAATAATACGGGACCCAGCATATTCACGCTCTATTCCGCGAGATGATTAACGTGATATATTTATTTATCGAAAACCATTTAAAATTGAATGAAATATTAAGTGTTAAAGTAACCCACATAAACTAAGGATTATGGAAGAATTTGATTTGCCAAACACTTATCCCACATAGGAAAGTTAGGAAACTTTGGTGTGGTTTATAAGGTGGAAGTTTGGAATTGGGTTTGGGCCCCAAGGGGTACCAATAGTTTTTGGAAGGGGGAAGACCTATATCCTATTGGGTTCGGTCATAAACCCACACGCGCGCGCGCCGCCGCCGTCCGTCCGGCCGGCTCGGCACGGCACGAGCCCGAGTCCGGTTCGGTGCGGGTCCGGGTCGACCTTTACACTATATTAACTTTTTGGACAAAATTTATTTAAAATTTTGGACCAAATTGTAAATAATCAAATTCTTGGGTACAAAATGAAATTTAAATTTGGGCTTATCCCGGGTGTTTTATTTTCTTTTTAACAGTCGACTGTTTCGACTGTTTACCGACCAAACAGTCGACTGTTAACCGACTTAACAGACACGACTTTTAAGAACAGTATGTCTGTTCGGATTTTTGAGGCTTGTCTGAAAGGTGATGACTGTTCGAATGGCCACGGACAAGTCTATAAATAGCCAGCCTTTCTACCAGAAAATTTACATCATTTTCATTGCAAACTTTCTGTGCTTTGAATCCCATTTCCCTCTCTCTCGTTCTGATATTGTCTCGAAGTAAAAAACACTTCGTTGAGTTCGTTGGAACTCCTACAGACTGCAGTGCTGCTTCCGTAGGAGACGAAAAATTCGTTCTATCCTGGGAAACGATTGCTGGACGCCTTTAGCACCATAGAAGGCAGCAAATTCGTTTTAAGGACACATCGTGAAGTCGGTGGGCTCGAATTACAATTTTGGATCCTGTTGATCAATTCTTGCATTCAGGTAATTCTGTCGGATTGCTGTAGAAGGAGTGAATTCAAACTATAGAAACAACACACTCTACATGTGAAAGTCGAAGGAAAATCCCCTTCAGGCTTCAAGTAGGAGTTTCGTAGTTGCATGCCAGCAGTAGTGAGCATGAATGAAAGCAGAAGGAAAATTCTCACCTTTTGCATCCAAATATTTAAATTCATATTAATCGGGTAAATGTTTAAGAAATCTCTCAATTGAATTTAATTCCATGAGTAGGGACACTTGACAGACTGTAAGACGGCAAGGGTATTTTTATTGAGTTTTGCTACGTAGACAGACCCACATGGCCAACTTGCCAATAGGAACTCCCGGAAAAATAGGACCACATGGCCCTATTTGAGGAGGATTATTCATTTTTTCCCTTGTTTGAGCTACCTTATTTCAACAAGAATGCATTTTTAAATAGTGTATTGATAGAAAATGTATGATTAAAATTAAAAAAAAATTTGAATTTATGTATAATATTATTTTATTAAAAATATATAATTGAAGTGATGTCAAATTATTGTTTAAAAATGTAACTTCGTGAAAGAACGTGAGTCAAATACACTCTTATTTCATGACAGATAACCACAGAATTTCAATCTTTACACTCAACTTCAGAAAAGTCAACTTCTAGATACAATAAAATTACTTTTTTTCCATGAAAAAATATGTGCTATTGATATTTTGTACTTGACATGACTATACGACGAGCTAAATAAAATTTTAATCTTTTCTTGTACATAATGATTTACATATACATAATGTGGTGAAATACGATTGAATTATAATTTTTCAACCAAAAAAGAAAAAAAAATCACACTCACTTTTTCACATCGCATATATATGTATATAAACCATTATATAACAAGTTGCATTACTCACAACTTGTCATCATTGGAGTTCTTTTAATCGCAAAACGAGCTTATAATTGACTATCAAATTGCTCAACTGATTGACTTGTGTCACTTGTCCATTATGGTATGTGAACCTTTTTCACCTATTGCATTTTTTGCAATTTGATGGATTCCAAATCATTCGTATCGAAATTTTAAATTTTTAAGAGATCATATTCTAAGAAACGATACTCATTAGAGAGAATCTACACAGAGAGGGGAATCAAACCAAAAAATTTATCCATTCAAGTTGGATCCATTTCAGCATTGAGTCATAATAAATTGAATATTGTAGTAGTCTTGATAGTAGGTCTGACTTCTAATTGATATACGTGAATCAAGATCAATTTTAAATTCTAGGGGTTCCAATCCTAGTGAAACAGATACTCAATTTAAAGTGAGTAAACAGTTTGGGAAGGGATTTTGATTGATCAAAAAGAAGAATCTACTTCATTGGTGCACATCATGTCTTGGATCCATTAATGTTACTCGAGACGGGAAAGGTAGTTCTCTGTTTTTATTATATATAAAAAAATAAATAAATAGTGAGAATAAGTTTACGATCTCATGTGAAAAAGTTGCACCAAAACAAAAAGGACAAAAAAAATTAAAAAAGACTAGTAATTCTTGACCTGGTCCAATAAGTGTCATCAACAGTTGTAGTTTGCTAAGACATGACTTTAAATAAATAGAAATATCAAACTAAGTTCAAATTTCCAGCGCGCAATTTTCCACAATGAGGAACTTGCCTTGTAACAATCTCATGAACAATGAAACCTCCAAGAAGTCTCTTTTAACCAACCTCAGTGTTACTTATATATACACAGATTCATACAAATTCATTTCACAATTTAGTATCTGTTATAATTTCATCATGCAAAACTACAGCCATCCTTGTTTCGTAGAAATCACTTTGATATCAGCTCAAGATCTCAGATTAGCTTCTTCGGTTTTCTGCCGCCGCCGCCTCCGGCCGTTCATAACCATCAACACTGCCATCGCCACCACGTCCAGTGATAAACAGCTGAAAGTGTACAAAACAAAGGTTGATGAAAAAGGAGGTGTAAATCCCACATGGGGTGACAAGTTTCAGTTACCTCTTGATCAAACTTTTTTTTACCTAAGAAAATCAGGAATTTATCTCCAACTTTACACCAAGAATCTTTTGATGGGCAATACGCAACTGGGATGGTGTCTGATTCCAGTGTCGGATATAGTCGGCAGGTTAATTCCGGTGGGGTCGACTCAATTCTTAAGTTATCGGTTAAGGGATAGGGATGGTTCGAGGGGGCATGGGGTTGTGAATGTTGCGGTAAAGTTGGAAGGGAAACCTCCGACACCACACCCTCCTCGGCCGGTGATGACGCCAGATGGGAATGTGAGTGATATGGTGATTGGAATTCCGGTGAAAATGTTGCCGGAGAGGAATGAGTTTTCCCAAGGGCATGTAAGAGCTGGTTCACCACATAGTTACGCCTTTTCTCCTGGTCAGAACATACTTGATAATGTGAGAATTGAGACCTACTCTGCTAAGAATTTTGCTGTTATGGGAATAAGGGAGTCTAAAGCCCAGACAAGTGATGATGAATAGGGACTATCAACATACTGAATGGTTGAGCAGATCTAATGGTTCGGTAACAAAATGCAAAACTTTATAATGTCTCAAGATAAGAAGAACAATGCTAGTTGCACATGTACAGTCACACAAATGAGACTCGTACAAATTTAAGATGCTAAACACTAATTGTTCATCTTATCTTTCTAAAAAGAAGAATTTTTCGATCAATGCTACTGCTCAAATGTTTAGAACCTTTAAATCATGAACAATACAAGATGCAAATATGATTCAATTTTTTTATATTTTTTTTGCTACAATATGTGAAAGCAAGGAAAAATGTCCCTCTTTTAGCACAATTAACGCACACAACAAAATGAAACAGGTTTGAATTCAATGAAAAAAAATCGCTATCCTTAAGATAGATTGCTCCTCGGGATACGTAATCTGGTGCAATAAGGAATAGGCGACCTGCTTCCAAGATTCAACAACCAGTGAACCACAGCTAAGGATGCACTCCCCAGAGAAGGTCAAGGAGGACTTTCTTAAGCATCCAATTAGAGCTCAGATAGGTAAAGTATACAAAAAAAATTAGGAAAAGACAAATCTGGGAGTTGTGATTCTCATCCTACAAATGATGGCTTTTTTAATGCATAGAAACATGCCAAAGTATTTAAGAACGTCGCCTTTTAGATTTATCAAGCCTCATTTTTTAGATCTAATAACCATGAAATTCTATATGTTTAACTCATAAACATTAAACTAAAGTGATAAATTCATAACTCCAAGGTGAAAAGATCATAACTTCAAAACTTGCATTATAATAACATATTACACACACACACACACACACACACACACACATATACATACATAACAATCCTCCTCATTATTCAAAATTTGAGAAATAACACGATAAAATAATGGAGCTCTAGTCAGATTGAAGAAATTGACACACATTAATGCTGATGTCTTTTGACTTGAATCAACTCTTAGATTGGATTTACAGAAGTGGGGTGAAATTAAGCTTTGAACAAACTTCTTGAGTCTAAATCAGCTATATATCCAAGACACGTATCAGCTTCAGATATAAAAGAGCCTTCAAGTTGGCACGTTTAGACTATGTGCCCTACCAGGTTATTCATGAATACTCTAGAGAAATTGGTCTAATTTCTCATAGAAGGCAGTCCCAATCTCATATTCATATAGGCGGATTCCACCAATCATAAACAGGAAAAAGAAATGTCACTCTAAAGGGCTATGGATCCATTAAGAGCTTTAAGCTCAACCTCCCATGTGCAGTTGCACTATCTAAGCCACGACGATGGAACATATTTGGAACTCGCATTCGCATATGGCAGTGCCTCCACTACTCAAATGACTTGTTTTTGTCCATTGAACGTACATCTTGATATCTGTATTCGCATAGGTGGGTTGCCATTACATGTGGCACACTTAAATGGCTCTCTCAATATATTTATCAATAGCATGGCTAATCAGTCAAATGGTTCGCCAATATCCTGTTGATTTCGGAAACTCAAGTAATAATACTCCATCCATTAGCAGTTGTCTAACCACATTATGGCGTAGATGCATATGAGCTCCTAACTCGAGCTATCAAAGTTCTTGGTAAGACGCAAGGGGGAAGGAAGATCTCGCATAAATGCATATCAACAAGAAATTTATCAATTGAAATGCTCGACCTTAACTATTTCTTGAATCGAAATACTAAGAGAATCGAAATTGGAACTTAGAAATTGAGGTAGTGAGGCCCGTAATTCCAGAGATGGACAAAATTTGAATACCTATCCAGCAATATTAACTTCTCACATAAATTAAATTACCCGATTTAATGCATTCAAGTACGTAAGCTCAGAGAATCGAAATTGAAGCGGTGAGGCCGGCCGGAGTTTTGATTTCTTTAATCACTCCCGCTTATAGTAGAAACTCGAGAACCTTCCCCCGATCGGTGCGGTACTTTCGGAGCAGAGGATTTGAAAACTCCATTCTAAAATCCAGCACACGCACACACACACACACACACAGAGTAGCACGCAGAGAGAAATGCGAGGTCAGCCTCTGCCTCGATGAGCGCCAAAAGCAGACGGCATGACGCAATCTTATGCTCTTTAACCTCGGATTAATTTCATTAATGCCTTGCAATGTTAAGGTGTGACATTTAGATAGATGTTTTAACACCGCGCTAGCTAGCATTACTCTTGAAATAACAGTACAATTAGAGAGGGTAAAGAAAAGGTATGTTGAACGGTAAACCCCGCAATTCGATTCTCACCAGTTCGTAGGTTACATTCATTTTTCTCTCATTATGAGAAAATGATTTGATTTCTTGTCTCCCCAACTCGTATGCCAATGATATAGTTGAGAACAATTTAGTCGTTCTCATCTCTTATCCAATCCACTTTTTCAACATATGACGTCCAGTATACCTCCCCTCATAATAGTTTGAGCGAGGGTCGTCTACCTTTGTGATAAAATATCATTAAATTGTACATTCAAGTTCTCAAAGATCTATAGTACATATTGTTGGAATTGGTTCAAAAATCAACTGAATTAATCGAAAAAATTTGGTCAAGTATGAAAGGTGTGACTACGTGTCAACTTCGACCAAATATTCAGACTTAATCCGATGGTTAAATTATAAAAGTAAATAGACTAACTTATTCTACTCGTCGAGTAGATCGTCGTGGTATATTTGGAATCTATAACCAATTTCGGATGAATGAGAAATTACGATCCAAACTTGGATGAAGTGTTGCAACTTTTCAAAATAAGATTTTGGCTAAGTGTTGCAACTTTTTGAAATGATGCATGTTTTGACCCACACTACTTCATTTTCACCCTTTCTATATCTATAAATAGAACTCTTTGGACGTGGTTTTGAGTACATCATTGCATTGATCATTCATTCTTCTCTTGCAATTCATCTTTCTCTTATTCTCATAACATTCCTTTGTAAATGGAAAATTCCGTTGAAATTTCGTCGTTCTTGTGGTTTGAAATACTGCTACCATAAGTGTGTATCCGTTGTATCTTTGGAGACATTTGTTATTCAATCGTGAGTACCTTAACGGGACAATTTGTCTTAAGGAAATAGTTATACTCGCCTCGGATTTCCTTTTTAACTCCTTATTTCATCTTGATTTTGTGGTTTTGTACTACACTTCCACTTCATAAAATTGTGGTTTAACTACGCTCCTGCGAGTTGAACTTTGCACTCACAAACAATCATCTTAACCGCTCACAAATAAGCCGGATCCAACACATTGTATTGGATGTGCGGGTGTTACCTTACTAAACCAAGCTTACATCAAGTGCACGATCAGTATGCATTATTTAATCATGCCAAGAATGCTATGGAACGAAGAATTTAGACGAAATAAAGGGACATCAGCAGAAAGTTTTTGATTTTGAGAAACATTTTCACAAGTACAAATACTTTACACGAGAATCAAATAAATTTCAAATGTTGAAGGTATTACTATGGACTAAAATCTCTTTTATTCATGTAATGCTACAAAAGCTACAACACAGTAATATGATTCTACAACAGCTTCATTCTGTCCCCACTTTCAGACATCTTAGGAATGCTTTTAATCTACCTTCTTGGGTATTCATCCTAATGTTCGACTCCTTTCCTCGTTTGCAACAATATTCGGACATAGCCCTGCACAACCAAAGATTTTGCATATGTAACACGAAGATCATAAGCTTGTTACCAATAAACCATTAATAAAATTTGGTGTCATATACTAGTAGCAGAATTCTTTATACCTTCAAAACCCATCATTCATGGTTCGAAAGATGGGACCTGATCCATAGGAGCATGGAGAACCCGATACACTGTTCTATCGACTATACCTCTGTAAGGATCTTCCTTTCTCTTTTTCATCAAATAAGCAATACTATTTTCAACTTCTGATTTTATATGCAAATAAAGTTCTTTTGCATTACTTCTGTCCTTCAACATATTTCGTCTTCCCTTCGTTGGAACAGGCTTCCCGAACAGATAGTAAACTCGGCCAGGGATTTTCGGCAGAAGTCCTGGGAGATATAAAGTTTGGTTCGCAACCTCCCCACTCATTCCAGTCCTATAATCAGATCATGTTCAATGTCCTTAGATGTAGTTTCGATCTCACAACTACAAGAGCACAACGAAGTCTACCAAGCTTTGGGCACATTTAGCAAAATTTTCACATTGATCAATAATTTCATTTTGTTCCGAGTTGGTCACTAAATTTAAACATTCACCTTTTCCAGTAGTCAAACTAACTGATATGGCCGGAGTAATTTAAGTTCAGTGACGAACATGAAACAAAATGAAGTTTATTGACCAATATAAAATTTTCACTAAAAGGTTAGTGACGACCTGTGTATTTAACCCAACATGATGGTACAAATAGTATTGTCCATGTAGATTGTTTACCTTACGTTTAGATCTTTATACTGCTCATTATCTCTTCTAATTCTGTCACCTATAATTGGAATTCTCATCAGGTCATCATAGTCCAGAACCAACTGCCAAAACAAAAATCAAAATGAACATATCAATTTCCCAAGGAATATATTAGTAAAATACTTAAATTTCACTTCCCACAAATAGGCATAAACACATAGATATTAAGTTTGGACCAATACACAAATATTCATATTCTGAGCGAAGTTATATCATGTGATTTTCATCAGAGAATTTTTGGGTTTCACAGTCCAAAGAAATACAATGCTTCCGAGCCTGATGATCACTTCAACATATATCTGAATAGACAGGGCTATACATGATCTTGTGGTTGAAAAGTCAGTGTTGAGATCACCTGCTTCTCGTTAATGGCCGATCTTTGAACTAGAACAAGGCATTCCTGCTGGTAATCCTACGCCACTATAGACCCTAAAGTCATAGCTATAAGCCTACAATCTCCTCCCAAGGGACGAAATAACTTTATGATTTCTGGAGAAGAATTCAGATTTCCTTGGTGCTCAAAATTGAACTTCATCCAGTTGGTTTCATCTTTGTGGTGTCCCAAAATAAGATCCCCATTCCGTAAAGTTAACTAAAACTTCCTCGTGTTGTCCCTATGTAGCTGGTTACGTCAATATTTTATACCGCTACTAAATGCCATATGAGAATGTGATAATGAAAAGCCGGAAGTCAGAATTTAGAAACCGACCATTCTTTTCAGAGAGTACAAGCAAAAAAACTATCAAAGAAAATTCATCACAAGACGTGAAAGAATTGTTTGATATAGTGAATCAATAAAAGAATAATTACCTCTGCGATGTCATCTTCTCCAACAACTCCAAATGGTACAATTGTGGCCCCAAATCTTGCTGCCATCCTGACAAATTCCGGCTGGTCAGGCCAAAATAATTTATACTCTTCGCCCTGGAATAAGAATCCAATGACAATATTGATACTAGTTTCAAGAAGCACCCTCCCCAGTCCCCACCGCAAAAAAAAAAAAAGAAAAAAAGAAAAGGTATATGCTTATGCAAATATTTCATTTTGAAAGTGGATATAAAAGATTTAAAATGAAATAGAAAGTAATGAAAAGATAAAAGTACCCACCTTGCGATGTAGAGCCTCACGAGCACCACCAGGATAAAGTAGCACGTGTGATTTTGTTGCGAGCAATTTGAAAAGATTGCTTGCACTTACAGGTAATCCACCATATAACCTCACAGTGTCAAAGATGGAAAACTCCCTGTTCTCACTCTCAACAAGCTGTGAAAACAATGTTGGGTGTGCTATACCACGAACCAAGATCTTCTTCTCCAGAAGAAATTGTTCAACTAATGGAACAAGTTCCAAACCCATAAGCATGTGATAACCAACTAATACGACGGGACCTTCATTTGGAACACCTGACAGACCTCTCACTATCTTCCCATCTTCCGTAGTAGACCACATCACAGGACCAGTATAATTGCGAAACCATCTGCATTGCATTATATGCAAATACAGTCTTTGAAAAAATCAAGTACAAAAAGAGTTAAATATGCAATTATAAGTAGCACATCACAAAGATTCACCTATTTATCTACCAAGAATTTTTCATATATTCTGTTTTCATCTATGTGCAGAATAAAAATATACTATATCTATATTTAGGCCATGCAACTAAATTCAACCGAAACAAACATACATTAAAAATCATGATAATAAAGTTTATGGGCTATGACTGAAGCTTGGATAAGTGTCAACACCTTACATATTTCATTAAGATGGAAATCTAGAAAGAAAAAAATTCATGTCCATTTACCCATTGCTCAAAAGTGCATGCTTAAATTCTGACTTGCTGGGAGGCAAAAAATCTGCAACAAAATCATGATTCCTTGAACAACGACGGTAAGTGCAAGTACATTTGATAATGGTTAATAGATTAACTCCATCTTCCTGCATGAGAAGAAATTGAGATAGATCAATACATGAAAGGTATATATGACTACAGAAGTAATCAAATCCCATCCAATTTACGACCAGGATTTCATAGCAACCACAAACACAAAGGAACAAGAAGATTGTGAATCATGCAAAGTATAGATATAATAAAAGAAGAAATAATGCAGATTGTTGAATTTTTTCTATGAACAGAAAAGAATAGGTATCCCTTTTCCTTCTGGCAGTAAAAAGCATGTGCATACCACCAATTATTTTATACAATGATGATTTGTTGTCTCAATCTCAGCTCCAAGAACCTAAATAAGGAGGCAGAAAGATTTATTTGATTTTTGCCAGTGAGAGGTTCATATAGAACTAGAACCAACATTTTGCGCTAAAATTATCAATCTTGACAACTGATGAAATGCAAGAAAATGCCTCCAATTCAAAATGCCTTAGTTGTAAATAAATTGTAAAAAATGAGTGGTCTTCTATTAAACTTAAATTTTGGATGACTTAAGCTTTTGGCTTCTCAGAAAATACCTTGATTTTGTTGCTGTTGCAATTACACTTTTTTTTTTTGGTCATAAAAAAGAAAAGACATTATATGTTGCTGATAGCGTTTAATCTTCAATTTAGGCATCTATGTTAAATCTAATGCTTTTTCAGACGGTCGATGGGTATCTATTTGACATATAATATTAGAAAAGGTACTGATTTTAAAGAGTTTCTATATATGATCCTAGAGTTAAGCCCCTATTTGGCCCCCTTTAAAACTATTCAATTTAATTTAATTTTTTCTCTCTCCTACTTTCAACCACATAATCTTCAATAAAATAATATTATACTTAAATCGAAAACTTTTCAACCACACAATCTTAAAAAAAAAAAAAAAAAAAAAAAACACTATTCCCATCATTATAAATTCAAATAATGGGGGCTAAATTTTGCATACAGAAGGTCATGCTTATCCTTATAACAGTAACCTTAAACTGGTTTGGGCTATTAGAACATTGTAGGGGCATTAACGCATGGGGGAAATTCTCACCTACCAATAGTATGGTATGCCCATTGTCCTTGAAGTATCGTATTTTGCAATTCCGCATTGAACGCGAAAGTCTCCAGGCTTCGTCTTCACTGGGCAGCATATTATCATTGCCACTGACGTGCAAATGAATTGTCATTCCCACAAATTTAGCAATAAAACCAATCTATTTGTGACTTAAGTTCTTCAAGTCAACTATAGAACGATGGGGAAAAAAATTACAAAAGACTAAAGGCAATTAACATTACAAAATCCAGAAATTATGGCTTATATCACCATCCAGGGATGTAAAATATGGTTTGCACTAATAAGCATAAAAAGAATATTTATTTGAAACTCTGAAGGCCTTGATGATAATTATCTTCATATATGCCATGCCCAAGTGAACATTGGGATAACTAACCAAAATATGCACATTCATACAGGGTGACAAAATACAATGGCGTAGATGACATGAGAAGGGATGTTATCAAAGGCATCATTACAAGTCCATTTATTGACAGTGAGCATTCCTTAAAGGAAAAAAATAACTTTGTTGTCAACTGTCATCTATTTCTCTCCACAACTAATCAAATCATCATCTATCTTTTAGCTGTATTATGTTGTCATCGTTGAATTATCTATATCAAACCAAACTGGATACGATCAGGCTGCCCAGTCTATAAACTAATTGGAAGGTAAAGAGGGTATGTGATAAGGTCCAACACTCCCCTGGCATTGCACAGAAAAGCATTGAAAATATTCTTTATGAGTCAAGAAAGGAGAGACCTAGCAAGAATAAGTACTTCAGCTTTGATGGCATGAAGACGAGAATTAGCATATGCCGCAGCAGACTTGAGCAGCTTCAGTTTCCAAATAAGAGTATCTTTAGGTATGATATCAGACAAGCCCTAAACATATCCAATAAAAAAAAAAAAAATTAGTACTTCAACCGTGCAAATATTCAACCCCACAGTATTTTTTAACCACAAATGATGTAAAAGAAATTATAGCAAGCTTTTTTTCATCTTTTTGTTTAAGAGTAAATGCTCCAATCTTTTGACAATTGTGGTTAGGAAGTCCATGGACAGGTCATTGTGTGCTAAAATCTCCACTAACTTTCCCTTTCTTCAACAACCCTCTTAGTGGATTATTTTACTTCATGAAGATACAGCATAATAGATGGTTGGCATATAGTTCGTCAGGTAACAATAGCAGTCTTGTAAAGGGAATCAAAAGGATCACATAGTTATGTATTTATAAAAGTCTAAATGGGTACAAACATTCTCAGGTGTGACTCTCTTTTTTCTCCTTTAGTAATAATAATCTTTATCCCTCCATTCATCGTTGACTTTACATAACATTCTGGTGCATATGTGGACGAAGATTATACATCATACATTGAGTTGGCATATAGTTCATCAGGTAATAATAGCAGTCTTGTAAAGGGAATCAAAAGGAACACATAGTTTTACGTAATTATAAAAGTCTAAATGGGTACAAACATTCTCAGGTGTGACTCTCTTTTTTCTCCTTTAGTATTAATAATCTTTATCCCTCCATTCATCATTGACTTCACATAACATTCTGGTGCGTATGTGGACGAAGATTATACATCATACATCGAGCATTCTACTGTTAACAGATGCTTCTTGTTCAAAAATAGGAAAATCTAGCAGTGTGAAAATATCCTTACAGAAAGACGCGGTAGCAAACCAGTAAGGTTCCCAGATAATTGTTCAAAATATCGCGTCGGAGGCAGCATTGAGTCAATATTAACTGCTGCCATCTTCACTGGATCACCTGGTATCAGTCAGTACCATGAATAGAGCCAAAGGCAGTAACTGAAAATGAGTTATACAGATTGTTGGAGAAGGGGGAAAAAAGGTTAAAAAAAATGATCACCGAAGTTATACAGATTGTTCCCATTAGTTAATATGGTGTAAATAAATTGAAGCAGCAAAAATATAGAATGCATAAAGAATAAGTGAAAAAACCAAGATAGAACTCCAACATGTTGGTTGCATATGTATGAATAATAAAAAGATTATTAGGGAAAAAAGAGAAACGTTTCAACCAATCAACTCCATTATTTCAACCAGTAAATCATGTTGAAAGCACAGAATCAAGAATTTGCTTATTAAAACCAACATGGCACTAACACAACTCTGTAAAGCATAAAGGAAGGCATTATATGCAAAAGCTTTTAATGAAGAAATTTGAAGGGGTCAAAAAGTAATCAAACTAGTGCCAGAAAAACGATAGGGTAATTTCGAAGGAGAAAAGAATCATGAGTCCTGCATTATGTTGGCCAGAAAGCCTAGTCAATTGGGAACTTCTACTTACAGCACAAAACAAGAAGGGATTTATGAGTCTTTGACTTGAGATTTCTTGCAAGAACAAGTAGTCATTTCTTTTGAAGGCAACGTACTTCAGGAATTACGTACAATTTAGCCCCTATTAAGTTAGATAAAAATCAGATTTTTAGTAAATATTGATAAAAGTTGATGGAATGTATGGTTGAAAAGTTGTTATCCCATGAAATGTGGTTAAAATTCATATTGACTTTAACTTAGATTTTAATTAGCTTTTTAACTGAACCAAACAGGGGCTTAGTACTTCCAGTGTCAGCAAGGGAAACATCCTGGGAGCAAAGTTTGGTTGCTAGGCACCATGAATGACCCTAGATAGTGATAAACATGTGTAACTCCTCCATAACAATTTTTCTCATGCAGAAGCAGATTATGAAGGAGAGAAAAGAATAGTTCAAAGTTTAAGCCCCCGTTTGGCCCCCATTTTTTTGAAATGAAAATGGGTGGAATAGTTTTATTTATTTATTTATTTTTTTTTTAATGTGTGGTTGACAAAGAAGGAAAAAATTTCGATTTATTCGATTTAAGTGTAATATTATTTTATAGAAGATAGTGTGGTTGAAAATAGGAGAGAAATGGAATGTAGTGGAACCTTATCCCGGAATGCATTGTAGGGTGTGTTTGGAGTGAAAGGAACAACCGCTATTTCGAAGATCAAACAAAGACAATAACGCAGATTAGGAAAATATTTTATTTGACTTTGTATAATTGGTTTAATGCCGCGGCTAAAAATCCTGTAGAAGGGTTGCCTAATTTCACAACGTTCCCTCTTGCTTAAAGTGATTGTACAAATCCCATGTAGTCTCTTTTAATTAATAAAATTATGATTACCTATAAAAAAAATGTAATGAGATTCAAACGGGAGCTAAATTGCCGACAATCACTAAGTTATGGGGTTTAACAAAGCAAGTAATGCTAGTTATGTCAAATAACATATCACTTCCAGTTGAGTAATTGATTTCAATCAAAGGCACCAATCAATTGTGAGGATCTCAATCTTTTGCAGGTTCACGTAAATGTAACGGTAAAAAGTCGCAGGAAATGAACCACGTAAGAAAATTAAATTGCTGAACTTCAGATGCAATAACAGTCATTATGGTTTAGAACAGAGAAGAAAAATGTCCAAATTATCAGGGCATCATTAAGATTTTCAAAGTATCAGACAGAATACCCATAACAAAGCTTAGAAGATATGGAACGGTGGCATGAAGTTCATCAGGCAAGGCCTCGAACAGAGGGAGCAAAGGTTGCAGTTGTGACCTGCCAAATGAAGTAGCTGAAAAGAATGTAAAATCAGTTAACACTGCCGCATACCAACCAGAGGTGTCCGCAAAAGACGCCTCAACAAATTATATGGATCATGATTTGACAAGCACACCTGGATTAGCTAATACCACTACAAGGTCAATATTAGGATTACGAGCTGCAAGTGCAAGTGCTAAGCATCCACCAAGTGACTCTCCCACCAGATAAATGGGTCTCTTTGGGGCTGAAGAATGCTCAGACCTCAGAGTCTCTTCAACCCATTGTACCAAAGCTGAAGTAAAGAAAGACTGTCATTCGGTTTGTTCTTATATTGAGAAAATTGTAGTGCAGGTTAATAATTTAGCAAAATTGCAGCCAAACAAGAACGGAAAAATAATTGGATTGAAACATATGCACGTCTTGGTAACTATCTCCGTAACTTCCTTTTGTTACTGTAGCATAAGTTCTCGGGATGAACAAAGAAATTGAAATTTTTTGAAGCAAGAAAAAGATAGACCTTCAAATGGTGTTCGATCCTGCAGAGGAATATGCATGCACCGAACTTCAAAAACCCTGAGACCAAAGAAAATAATGTATAAATGATTTAGCATTATAAGCTTAAAAAGTACAATCATAATATAAGAAGACAATGTAGCTAGCACACAATGTATACTGGTCATAATTTGTGCCAACCAGCGTAAACTACCAGGTTTAAAGAAAAAACAACTAGCTTGTCTCAAGAGGCAAAATAATTACTCTAAAGAAATTTGTCGATTGTCTTTCTAGTTTTTACAAATGGCCCAGCCAGAGTATTCAATATTAAGGATTCCATAACTTCCACAATTGTAAGAAGAAAAAATAGAAAAATAAATAAAGCTGGGTTGTAGTTACAGTAGTTTGTATGATTTCAGCAGAGTTTTATCTGAGACTTACTTGCCAAGAGACTTGTGATGAAGAATGAGGCCAAGTCCAAGACCATCCATTCCTGCACAATAAGTAAAAACGAATTAAAACTAAAAAATGGCCTTACACATCTAAAGCTTCTATACAATAAAGATTATGCTCGGAATTACCGGAATAATTTCTTATGTTGGAAAGCCAAGTTCATTCGTATAGCAGAGTAGTATCGGTCTTAATCTACAAATAAATAACTTTACAATTGAGCACCAAATAATTATACCTGGTAAGAACAGAAGAATTGGTGAATCCTTTAAAGGCGGCCCACAAGAGATTGGGGTGAACCACCTCGGTGGCCCCCCATCAGGTTTAATAATCTCTTTGGCTAAATCAAGATAATCCTTCACACTTTGAGTTCCATATCCATCATCCCACAAAGGCTCCAACTTTTCCTCCTCAGAAACTTTTTCCCTCTTCTTTTCCTCCACATTTGAACCCCCGTGACCATGCCCCACCTCAATCATAAGCCTATCACTCTCCTTCTTTTCCTTCACAACAGAAGATGATACTCCATTAACAATCCCATTCACTTTAACAGATTCAACAGATAATGCAGCATCAGCCGATTCCCCACTAGCTAAACACTGAATTCCAGATCTAGAACGACATTTCTCGTTAATATTCAAACCAAAATGGGGTGATGCCCAGAAACATTTCACAATTGAAGCCATGTAAATCTGAACCCCGTGGCCTCAGACTTTCCAAATTCAAGAATTATATATAGAAACAAAAAAGGCTTCAAGCCACAAAAGAACAAATATCGTGTACCTAAAGAGGAGCCCACATGAATAATCACTACTGACTACTGTTAGCAGAATAGACAGGAAACGTATGGAAAGTTTCAAACTATCATGCAAGAAATACAGCAACAGATCTAATTTGTGGGTCATTTTGTTTCAACGTTGCGCTTATTGGGTTTACTGAAATCGTGAGAATCAAGTGAGGATATAGTCAAATGTAATCACGAAGAGATTGATATATACAACATGAATATAAATTTGTAGTACAAACTACTGTAAAAAAATTACCGGCGCAGAGTGATATGAACACGTGGCCGACATGTATTGGGATACAGAACGATGAACACGGTGAATAATTGGCGCTCTTTGGAAGAACGTGACGTGGATATCCATGTCCTGCCATTTTCATTTTTTGTTTTTTCTGTTCGTAAAAAAGGCTTTTGCAGGAGACGTTTGGCAATGGTTTAGCTTGAGAATTTTGAAGAAAGTTGCATCAATGGTGTCCAATTTATTGTGATAGTAGCAATTTGGTTATTATCTTCAAAACAGAGCAAGTTGATCTTTAATCTTTCTTTCTAACTGTACAGTTAGTCCTAATTATAAAAACAACTAACCCTTTGTTTACTCGATTAAAAAAAAAGCCTTGTTTAGTAGTCTTGTGGCCCTCGTGTGTTGAAATTAAAGTTAGTCTTTTCCTCCTCGGAACTGGGTGTGCTTATGTAAATGTTGGCAAAGCTTAAATTATAATTTAAACTGTTAAACGTACTTTTGACAAATAATTAGGAAAGACAAAATACTCAGAGCACATTGCCTCGCCTCTTTTAGGTAATCGGGATTGGAATTGAAAACATGATCCTCTTTCTTGATTCTTCGTTTTTGCCCTCGGCTCTTTTTATTTATTTTTATGTCTTTTAAATCTAATTGATATTTTTAAATAATTAATTAAATAATTGATGCGTTAAATATGGATACTTTAATCATCATTTCGTCCTTCCCAATAGTGCTTCTAGAAAACCCATCGACAAGGTCGATTTTGACCTTGACCTTGGCGCGTAGACACTCTTACAAATAACTAACATATCAACAATAGTTAAATAAATTTTTTAAAATAATTTAATAAAATTAAATATTTTTAATTAGTCCCTATTTGAATTCCATTAAAATAATTTTTTTGGAAAAAATATATTTTGAAATATTGAGTTTTTGATAAATGTATAATTGAGAAATAAGAAAAAATTTATATTTACGTGTAACATTATTTTATAAGAGAATATATGATTGAAAACGAGTTTTGAGAAAATGAAACCCAAACAAAGGCTTAGTATATTAACAATTTTTAGTATTTCATATTTTTATAATCTTCACATTTATTCTAGTTTGGGAAATTAAAATGATATTATCCTGAACGTTAAAAAAAAAAAAAAAATGCATTAAAGCCTTAAAGCTTATATTTCTTTTTAGTTCTTTTTTCTGCAAATATTTACATAAATTTTAGTTTGATCAATTTTTTAAAAAGAAAGTAATTTTATTATGAATAAGATAAAATCACTATGTACAAAAGATTAAAAAAAAAATGAAATTGAAACTAAAACAATTTGTTTTTGCTTAATTAAAATTAAGAAATAGACAAACAAGAAAATAAGTACAATTTTATGTATTGCATAAGAGAGTATGACAAAGTTGGAAGTTTATGCCAAGTGGGGAGGTTTCTACAATTCTTGAGAGGACGAGGTGCATTCGACGTTATTATAAATCTCTAGAAAGGTCTATATAAACCGTCTCTAAAATTTAACTTAAACGTTCTCAAGACGTAATACTCTTTGTGGTTTAAAATAAGAGTCATGGAACTTAACAGTCCCTCACATGCGAGGGGGTTAACCACGAATATTTTTATTCGTAGTGAGCCCCCTCACGATCCCTTAAAATAAGCAATACGTGGGCTCCATTTAATAATTGTGACTCACATTCGATCTATTTTTTGAAAATGCAACTCTTAAGTATTGACGGAAATTCCCCAGCCTCGATTCTTTTCATATTATTTTTTATGTTTTCAATTGGAGTCGTATTGAAAAAATAAAAATATATATATTAAAATATAAAAATAAAAAGATCGATAACTGAATTTATTATAATCCCCTCTTCTTCTCGGTTTCTTGAAATCTCCAACAAGGCAGGAATGAAATTTTAATTCATAGCCCCATCCTTATGTAAGAACAGTCAAGCAAGCAATTAGACTAACGTTTAGAAATATGAAATGTAGCCCCCGAGGCACATCCCAACTGGCAAGGGATGGAGTTCTTCAAGGCAATTCAAAGGTTGCGGGTTCGATTCATAGGGCTCTTGAAAGGCAAGACTTTCTCTTGGAAGGCAGGATATTTCCTCGAAGATATGAGTTCTTTGAAAGGCAAGACGTGTACATGAGTTTGACTCGCTCGACACTTTGACAGTTCAGTTGGAGGGGCTCTTGAACCCTGGCTAGTTTGGGGCACAACCCGCGGTTTACCTGGTCTGCGTGAAGAGGGACTGGATTATAGATCTCAGTATTAGTCGTTGTAAGGTGGACACCTGAGTATATTAAAAAAAAAAGTGAAATGTAACATGTATAGATCAAGTTTGCATTACAATTTTTAAGTTCTAGACAATTATTTGTTTAGTGGAGATGGGAAAAAGTCATGACTCTAGAGTCTACTTCACCTCCCGCCTGATTGGGCAAGGATTCCCTGCTCAGCTGGGCACCAAGATGAGGATGGGGAATCCTTTTATTTTTTACTTTTTAATTTAATTGTATCAAAAAAAAGAGAAATGAAAAAAAGGGTAGGATGAAATATATTTTAATACCCGCCTCCGCCTCCCAAAATTTCCTAATGGGACTGGGGACATCATTATGGATTGCAATTGTAAAGAAAGATTGAGGATTAATTTGCTCGTTTTCTAAAACTTTTAGTCAACTAACTAATATTGTGGGGAAAAAATAATTACAAGTAAATAAGAAAGTTTTAAATAATTAAATTATTAAATTTATCAAAACAATACATCAGTAGATTTTTAAAAGAAAAAAACAACTTGTTTAATTGTGTTAAAAAACTAAAGTTTATTCGATAGTAAAAATTATCTTTAAGACGTGTGACGTACGTAGCTAGGGAATACAACTTTACAAGAGGGCCTGGGCCAGTCACCTTTACTAATTGATGAAGACATCATGTTTTTAAATAGGATTTTCATGTACAACAGTACAAGTAGCAAAATTTGATGAAGACACCAAGTTTTCGAATAGGATTTTGCTACTTGCTTCTTTTAAATAATTATACGTACTTTCTAGCTTGATTGAGACACCATTTGTTTTCTTAACGTTTAATAATAGATGGGCGCGTGTATTTTGCTCAGCCTAACTCATAAAGATGGACAATGCTACATTTATCTACACATTTTTACTGAATCTTTTTTCTACACTCATAATAGGAGAGCGGGTCCCACAAATCGAAATTTTTAAATGCACACGGGCCTAACTCATAAAGATGGACAATGCTATATTTACCTACACATTTTTTTATTGAATCTTTTACCTACACTCATAATAGGAGGGCGGGCCCCACAAGCTGAAATTTTTAAATGCACGCGAGGCCCGCGCACACATGAGAGTAGGGCATCAATTCGGTATCCTATTTTCGGTACATATATATTTATCCTATAAAGATAGCCATTAAGTATCTAATTATTAACTTATTTAAGAGATCTTCCTCTTCTTTTCAGGAAAAAATTGTACAGAAACATGAAGGGGTAGTTAGACAAAACTTTAACAAATTCCATAATATATGTAGTTGAAAAATTAATAAATATTGTGGGTCTCATGAAAATATTGTGATTAGAAGTGAAGTCTGATCTGATTTCAGCAGAGTTTTATCTGAGACTTACTTGCCAAGAGACTTGTGATGAAGAATGAGGCCAAGTCCAAGACCATCCATTCCTGCACAATAAGTAAAAACGAATTAAAACTAAAAAATGGCCTTACACATTTAAAGCTTCTATACAATAAAGATTATGCTCGGAATTACCGGAATAATTTCTTATGTTGGAAAGCCAAGTTCACTCGTATAGCAGAGTAGTATCGGTCTTAATCTACAAATAAATAACTTTACAATTGAGCACCAAATAATTATACCTGGTAAGAACAGAAGAATTGGTGAATCCTTTAAAGGCGGCCCACAAGAGATTGGGGTGAACCACCTCGGTGGCCCCCCATCAGGTTTAATAATCTCTTTGGCTAAATCAAGATAATCCTTCACACTTTGAGTTCCATATCCATCATCCCACAAAGGCTCCAACTTTTCCTCCTCAGAAACTTTTTCCCTCTTCTTTTCCTCCACATTTGAACCCCCGTGACCATGCCCCACCTCAATCATAAGCCTATCACTCTCCTTCTTTTCCTTCACAACAGGAGATGATACTCCATTAACAATCCCATTCACTTTAACAGATTCAACAGATAATGCAGCATCAGCCGATTCCCCACTAGCTAAACACTGAATTCCAGATCTAGAACGACATTTCTCGTTCATATTCAAAGCAAAATGGGGTGATGCCCAGAAACATTTCATAATTGAAGCCATGTAAATCTGAACCCCGTGGCCTCAGACTTTCCAAATTCAAGAATTATATATAGAAACAAAAAAGGCTTCAAGCCACAAAAGAACAAATATTGTGTACCTAAAGAGGAGCCCACATGAATAACCACTACTGACTACTGTGAGCAGAAAAGACAGGAAACGTATGGAAAGTTTCAAACTATCATGCAAGAAATACAGCAACAGATCTAATTTGTGGGTCATTTTGTTTCAACGTTGCGCTTATTGGGTTTACTGAAATCGTTGAGAATCAAGTGAGGATATGGTCAAATGTAATCACGAAGAGATTGATATATACAACATGAATATAAATTTGTAGTACAAACTACTGTAAAAAAATTACCGGCGCAGAGTGATATGAACACGTGGCCGACATGTATTGGGATACAGAACGATGAACACGGTGAATAATTGGCGCTCTTTGGAAGAACGTGACGTGGATATCCATGTCCTGCCATTTTCATTTTTTGTTTTTTCTGTTCGTAAAAAAGGCTTTTGCAGGAGACGTTTGGCAATGGTTTAGCTTGAGAATTTTGAAGAAAGTTGCATCAATGGTGTCCAATTTATTGTGATAGTAG